AAAGGGGTAAATGTATAGTATATGCAGCAGGAGTAGACGCATGAACAAATGCCAAGTGGCGCGTAAAATAAATGTTGGGGTTTTCCAGAAAAAATGTGCATTTGCCTTGGGGATGCCACGATGAGTTTCCACTTTTTGGGTTTCTTTTGTCCGCAAATAGTGTGAATCTCAAACCCTTCCTCTCTTTGTGGTCCATTTTCTATGGGGTTGGCAACAGGTCAAGTACGGATCGGGTCTGGATGGATCCGAACTCAAATCGTATTCAGGTCCAAAATTTAGATTTAGATTTGAGACCCGTCTGGTCAGATCTATTCCTCCCTTATGACTATGAGCTTAATTTTAATTTTTTATGCCTTTTTTTTTTATGATCATATACCCTATGCTTGAGTTTTTTATTTTTTTATTAATAATACTGTAAATATTACCAATATTATGACAATATGAATACGTAATGCATGCCTAAAGATACATGATTGCCATCATATATCCTATGACTACGCGTACAGGTTGGGTATGGTTCGGGTTTGGTTGGACTAGAACCTGGACCTAAATAGTATCCGGGTCCAAAATTTGTACCCATCCTTGGACCCAGGTCGGGTATAACCATCGGGTCCCAGGTCTAATAGGGTCCATTGCCACCCCTAATTTTTTCAATAAATAATAATGACCGTATGGAGTACAATTGCCTATAGTCCTAAGTTTTTCTTTTTTACTTGAAGTACTTTTTAGGATCCTATGGAGTACAATTTCTCCATAGTCCTAAGTTTTTCTTTTTTTATTTGAGTACTCTTTAGGATTACAACAGACTCTTCTAATATCCGGAATAGAAGTTCTAAGTTTTCACATGACTCTCTCTCCCTCCCATAATATTATTTATTAGAGTGTCGTGAAGTTTGAGTATTTTTTTTTTTTTTTTGAACTTTTAGTCTAGTCAATGACATTTATACAGCCACCCGATATGAAATCTGATGGTTAACAGTGATTACGAGATTCATGTACAAAAAGTAAATAATATCTTTGTATACCTCTCATTCAAAAGTAAATAATATCTTTGTATACTTCTCACACAAAAGTAAATAGTATAATTGTATACTTCTCATTGTTTGTTATTTCTCAGGAGGCAAAGGAGGCATGGCAAGGCTGAATTGGTTCGGAAGAATGCACCCGAATACTGTGAAGTCACCGTCGTAAATGCCGGAAAAGTCGTACCTGAAAACCAGGAAACCACTCCACCTTTCGCAATTCCCTTAAAAGAGAATGAGAGGAGCTCATCAAAGGCAAGGCCCGAATTCTCGCGCAAAAATGATCGCAACTTTTTCGAGTGCACTTGTTTTTCCGGCAAATTTGTTCAGCCTTGATTCTCTCACTACAGTGACTTCTTTTTTTTTCTTTTGTGAATGTAACCAAAAAATTCCCATTAAAAGAAACCAAGTTACAAAAATGCAAACTAATTTACTGGAAGGAAGTAATCACCAATGAAGATTGGTGTGTTCTTTTTGCAAGACAGTCAGCCTCAACATTAGACTCCCTGTAGCAATGGCGGATTTCAGCGTTTATAGTTTTGAAAATATCCCCATATCTCATAAAAAATTGTAGTTAACCTCTATGGTATATTAGCTTCACCTTTTCTCCAAGTTATAATATTTATTGAATCCCCTTCTATGATCTTCTCTCCTTCAAATCGTGATACGAGTTTAATGCCTTCCAAAAGGCCTCTAGCTTTAGCTTCATTAATTGTAGTGACACTGCAAGAGCCAGAATATGACAAATAATATGCCCTATATGGTTCCCTATCAATCCACAAAAACCCGTTGCACCTGGGTTTTCAAAAGAGCTTCCATCAAAATTCAGTTTGTGTGCATTAGCAGGTAGTGGTGTCCAAACAGCGCCCATTCGACTTGATCTAGGAGAAGATAAACTAGCTACTGCCCTAGGATTAACAAATGATCTGGTTTTTTGGGATGAATTTAGCATCTTTATGTGTAGAAAACCAATTTGTTGATAGTGCCAAAATATTGGATTTCAGTATCAAAGTATCAGTGCTCAACCCTTCAAATAATCTTTTATTTATTTCCTTCCATAAACTCCAAAAAATACTCACTCAAATTGATCTTCACAATATTACACCCATCTTTGAGATACAAGGAGTAAGCCATTGGTGAAGAAGCTGACTTACATTTTCCGAAGTATGTATTGAAATGTTTAGACACTAATGAGCCCAATCCCATAGATTCATCACAAAGGGACAATCAAGAAAAAGATGTTGGGCCGTCTCATTATCAGCTTTATAAAAAATACAGACATTGGTTAAAATGAAACCCATTTTTCTCAAGTTATCAATAGTAGTTAGTTTATCTTAGAACAAAATCCATAAGAATAATTGTACTTTTAAAGGCACACGAAGCTCTTTTATTTTAAAAAGTCCAGCATTTAACTGCCTACTACGATCAGAAAAAAAAAGATCATAGTCTGGCTTAACTGAAAAGGCCCCGGAGTAATTAAGATCCCAATTGATAACATCTTCTTTATTTGGTGAGATATAAACACTTTGAAGTATTTCCATAAGTTTTTGTTATTCATCAATAAATCTATCAAAAACTCTTCTATACCTACAAGGTAAAGACCAAACAATGTTAGTAGAAAAACCCCCACTAGCCTCTTTAACAAAAGCAAATAGGTTAGTAACTTTGACAAACACCTCTGGGAATAAATATCTCACTGGGAAGTCACCAGGTTATTTATCAAACCAGAATAAAGTCTTTTCCACATTCCCAATTACTTTTAAAAAATGTCTCAAATATTTAGGTCTATCATAATCAATACCCCTCCAAACATGAGACAAAGATAACTTATTTCTCGAACTTTTGATTAAGCCATAGAAAACATATATCTCATACTTTTCTTTAGGAATATCAACCCAAAAAGATTTATGTTGGCTGTGAATTCTCCACCACCATTTGATAAGCAAGGCAAAATTCATAATTTTCAACTTTCTAATTCCCAAACCTCCTTATCTTATCGGTACACATACTTCTCCCAACTAACTAGATGCAATTTCTTCTTCGTTTCATAATTACCCCAAAGGAAGTTTCTCATCGACCCTTATAGACGCTTAACAATCAGTTTCGGTATCCTAAATAAAGACATATAATAAATTGGTAAATTTGATAAAGTTGATTTGATAAAAGTATATCTTCCTCCTAAAGAGAGAGTCAGCTTTGCACAAATCTAACTTTTTGATAAATCTTTCAAAGATTGGATCCCATATAGACCTTAGAGAATTTGAATTTATAAGAGGAATCCCAAGATACTTGCAAGGTAAACTTTCCACTCCGCAACCCAATAAACCAGCCAACATTTCCACTATATTTTTTGGATAACCTATTCCAATCAATTTGGTCTTGTCGAGGTTAATCTTTAATCCTGTTGCCAGTTCTACACATTTGAAACAAATCCACAGACGTGTAACGTCCTTTTACATGAATCGCAAAATATGATAGTATCATCTGTATATTGAAGATGTGAAACTATCAATCCATTATTTCCAACCTTCACACCAAATATAATATCTTTTGAAATCTCACTACAGTGACTTCAAAATGGATATAAATGCAAACAAATCTTAGAGCAAAGGTCACTCTATACTTGCACTTTTCAATCTTGCCTTGCTCGGCAATAATTACATGGCTAGTTGGAGGAGGGATGATAAGGTGGCCCATTGAAGCGAGAGACAGGGAGAGAGGGGCTAGGTCCACTTTCAGAACCTAGACAAATGATCATAAAGTTTCCTAAAGGCAATGGCTGTGGAGTCCCACATACAACACCATACTTTCCAAAAAAGAAGAGAAAAAAAAAGAGAAGCATTGTATTCACATCAAGAATAAATGAGGACATTTGGGGAAGGGGCTGGGGTCGTGGTGATAGCACCCTTACAGCTCAATAATCACATCGTGGTTGCTATTCCCAGACACCATCCATTGAAACTATTTCACAAAACATGTAGAGGTCTATTTTCCCCACTAAAATACCCAAAAAATAAATGAGGATTGTAGAGGTCTATCTTCCCCACTAAAATACCCAAAAAATAAATGAGGATATTTCACTTTTTGTAAGCCCTGTTGTTAACGTCAGATTAACTAAGAGAGAGAACAACATTATGGGTATTAGGGGTGGCAATGGGTCAAGTTCGGCTACACTCGGACCCATACCCGAATGTATTTGGATCCAGGTTTTAGACCCGGACCACCCGTCGGGTCCAAAATTTGGACCTAGACCCCTACCTGTCAAGTCCTGGATCTATCCCGTCAAGTCCCAATTCTGGTCCGGCCCATTGCCACCCTCACTATGAACTTCCTTTTTTTTTTTGCCCTTTCTTTACCATCATATACCCAAATATTATGGGCAACAAGGTCACAACCCGCCATTAGATTTCTAGGCATCTTATTTGTTGTTTAATCGCTAAAGATGATTATGAATTATTATTGTATACGATACCAACATGAATAGGGCTTTAAGTATTTTATCTCCAACAGTTTATGGGTACGGGTCGGGTCCAACCAAACCGGACCCTACCTGAATTGTGTTCAGGTCCAAGTTTTGGACTTGGACCCGACCCGCCAGGTCCAAACGTTGGACCCATACCCGGACCCATTCGGGTATACCTGGAGGGTCCCAGGTCGGGTCTAGATCCATTTGCCACGCCTAATGGGTATCAAATGGCAATTGCAATCTCAGAAAATCTGATTCATGAACAACTATTGATATCAAGGATTTTATATAATGACCAGAACAGTACACCATGTCCATGCATGACAAGGATGTACTTATTGATGAGGTAACTTCATTTCAAAAGAAGGATGTACATATTAACAAGCACGGAACATTATCGAATTTTGACAAGAAAAATGGACAAGGAAACATTACTCGCAATCACTCACGTATAGAAGTAGAACAATGACCAAATGGCCAGAAAATCAGATGCGAAAATGATTGAGGCCATGTATAATTCAGACAAAAAGTACAAGGAAATGACAAGTGAAAACCACCATCCACAACCAAGTGAAAGCAGGTCGGGTGCCAAGTGCAAAAAACCACCATCCACGACCAGGTGAAAGCAGGTCGTGTGGCAAGTGCAAAAAACCAACATGAATTCAACTCTTCCACTTAAAACGACTGCAGCATTTAACAGAAAAAAAATTTCTACAGATTTAATTGATAAAAAATAGTCCGTAGAAGAGCTACAAAATGTGAGTCTTGACATCTTTGAATCATGTGTATATTGGTATGAACATGGAGAAGCTTAATTGAAATACTATCCTAAGCCTCGGAATGTTTACTAGTAAGGAAGGTCTGGATGTCTGCCACCTCATTGGGCTCGTGCTATATGTGCTGTATCACTACAATGCCACTACTTGTTCGGTCAAAAATCTCCTCGAAAATGTTACAGAAACATAAAATTAACGTAATAGAAAGTTGAAATATGAGACTTCATTAGAGTCGTTCCCCATAACAACAGGACACAATCATAAATCAATCTCACTCTCTTACTATACAATGTAAAACAAGCCCACCACAAATGCTGAGCAAAAAGAAAATCCAAAGTGTAGCTAGGGTCGATCCAAGATGATGGAAAGTAGATATAAACAATCACAGAACAAATCTTAGTTACAAGTGACAATCTGGGAGTAGGAGAAGGAATCAGATATAATTGATGCATCTCAGAAAAGAGGGAGTTTAAATGTTCCAGAGAACATGAAAAGGACTCATAAAACTAGATCACATCTATATAATGGGAGATTTAAGAGAGCAATAAACCTCAATCGAGTCCCATAATCCTCCCTCACATGGCCATGAAAGACCCAAATAACTGTGGATTATTTCTATGTACTATAGACAATCAACTATGCAGAAACTGATGGTTTTAATTTGTTTGCAGTAGCGCATTTAATACAGCATACTGACATAATCAAACATAAAGCAAATGCAGTTTCAACAGTAGTGATCATGAGGGACTCAGCTCCCAACTACCTGAATGCATCAATTTCTGAAAAATCATAACGATACAGGTTACAGAGAGAAGTCTAAACTCTCCTATCAAATTGACAACCAAAAAAATCATAATTGACAGGCTAAATTCAAAGAGAGAAAAAATGCTGAAAAAAAAACAATATTTAGAAATGGCACTGTAACTGAAGCGATCCAGCCGTCCATTATGATCAAATGGCTGGGAGCATGGGCCATGTATGTTTTCTTATATGTGAGTGGCACTAAATGTAAGAAGATCATCACAGATCAAATCTAAATTACAAGTGACATTCTGGGAGTAGGGGAAGGAATCAGATATAATTAATGCATCTCAGACGAGAGGAGTTTAAATGTTTCAGAGAACATGAAAAGGACTCATACAACTAGATCACATCTATATAATAGGAGATTTAAGACAGCATTAAACCCCCCATCGAGTCACATAATCCTCCCTCACATGACCATGAAAGACCCAACTAACAGTGGATTATTCCTATGTACCATAGACAAATGGATATGCAGAAACTGCTGGTTTTAATTTGGTTGCAGTGGCGCATTTAATACAAGCATACTAACAATAATAAAAAACAGAACAAATACAGCTTCAACAATAGTGATCATAAGGGACACAGCTCCCAACTGCTAGTATGCAACAATTTCTGAAAAATCACAACTAAGGTAACAGACAGAAGTCTACACTCTCCTATCAAATTGAGAACCAAAAAAGTCATAATTGACAGGCTAAATTCAAAGAGAGAAAAAATGCTGAAAAAAGAAAACAATATTTAGAAATGGCACTGTAACTGAAGCAATCCAGCTGACCATTACGATCAAATGGCTGGGAGCATGGGCCATGTATTTACATGTGAGTGGCATTATGTGTCAAGTTTTCCCAATTATAATTCAAACAAACTTCTTGGCCACTTCAAATTAGATGTGCCCAATTGTATTTCAAATGAGCCACTTCAAATTAAATGTCCTGAGATTAAATTCTGGCCCAATTACTAAATAAAACACTCAGAAAAGTCACCATAATTCTGAAGTCCAATAAAAATTAGGGATATTTCAATGGATGGCAATTATTTTGGTGTCACAATGTCATTCTTAATGGAAGAGAGCATTTAGTATCACAATGTTATTCATAAGCATAATCAGCGCATATGGCTACACATGAATTTGGACTCAAGCACATGCGAAAAAATACACATCAAAGGTTCCATAGCAAATGCCACATATTATCATTCACAACACCAGAAATTAGAAAACACTAGCCTAGCTATTTGAAAACAAAAAATAATAGCCTTACAACTTTTAAGTCCCACTACCAAAATAGAAGTCAATCCTTTCTAACATGCACATGACAACCTAAGAAATATCCTCAAACATTTTAGAAGTGGCCTTCTATTCCTGTACTTAATTTGACTGAATTCCAAAGTTAATGATTCTCTGGCACGTTTCTCTTGCTGGCAGCATTCTGCTTGCCCAACTCCTCATTGAAAAAGAAGTCCTTGTAACTCAGTGACTTGGAGCTATCCTCTCAATCCCTAGATTGCAGTATTTAAATCCCATTCTACCAATAAATAACATGGCCTATAAAAATAGCAATATTCAAGTTCTTCCATTTTCAAAAAATTTGGATCAGAAATTCAGCCATGTTATTTTCCCAGTTCCAATGCTATTTGTTTTCTGCCATTTATGCATATTGTTCTTAGTCAGTTTTCCATTAAATTTTACAAAAACCAGACTGCCAATTCCCAAGTGAACTCTTTCTCATAATTTCTGACTCTGGGTACCACTCCAAGAAAGAACCATAAAATATAAAATCATGATAGCAACATATATGAAATTGTTAAATCCACAAATGGCAATGGGATATTGACATCTGATAGAATCCACATAACAAATACAAGAATTCCAATGGTTCTCTGTTCCAAAGTAAGGCATAAAAAAGCGCATTTCAAAGTTGAGATTGGCCCATGGTTCTGATTTTGTACATCACATAAATCCATCTTGCACAGGCTAAACTCAAATTTCATTAACACAATGGTAGATAGAGAAGAACACTTTAGATGGTTATGGATGATTGATTAAGGCTGATTGAATTGGAATTAATGGTGAGGCACAAAACCTTAACGTGGTGTCAAGATTTCTCTAATAAGCCCTCTAAGTAGAGGTTTAATATGTATCTCCCAGTTGACTGAACGTCTAGTCGCTTTTCACCAGGCTCATATCTCCCCTTTCGAAGCTGGTATCTGTGTGTTACTGCTGAAACTGTATAAGTTTGACCTTCTATAGTAACTGACTCACCACACTGCACATTCTGTCAATATAAACACCGTGCATATCAAAATTTAAGAAATAAAACACTGAAACCCTATAAATTTAGAGGATATTTGCATATCAACGTTACAAGTTTTGTTAGAAAGACAATAGCAATCAGAAAATTGGTCACAAACCACTACACGTAGAGATTATTGAATACAACCACACTGCATGTTATTTCTAGGAAAACAACATTAAGACCGTATTTTTAAGATATTATGGACCAAGAAGAAACACATGCATTTTTTAGACTACGAGTGAAACCACCATGTGCAGAATGGAGAGCCAAGATTCATGTAGCCGACCCCAATTAATTGGAAAAAAGCTAAAATGATGATGATGATGATGATGATGATGATGAGTGCATCATGTGAGTTCTGTCAAAAAAGGCCCAATTCAGACCAATGTTATCAAATTCTCTTCTTTTTGGCTGATAGGCAAATCTTCAGCTTCAAGCCCTAAACGGAAGAGAAGCAAATCACTCCCCTTATATATTTAAAATTTCTGTAAAAGTGGCTACCAAACATACAAAATTTCATGAGAACAACTCCTTCAATATTCAAGATTTTATTAGATATGCCTTTACACTAAAACGTTTCACAAAGTGCCAAGCTGTACATATTTTTTTATTTAAAAACACACCCAAATCTACGAAGAAACTGATGCGCTTCCATTTTCTGGCCAAATCGAAGAGCCCTCTGAAGAGAATCTGATAACAATGTTCAAGACCATGATTTGGCGGATAACATAAAAATTAAATACTCATACATTATGATAAGCATAACCCCTATAGCAGTGTGTTATGCTGAATGGAGAAAAGAAATACCAATATTTCATTATATATTGAGCCATTGACAGCTAATTTCTCAACTAAGAGATAATTAACTATTTCATTATATAGATTGTGGATTATAGCCTTCAATAAGTTTTATTTTATTTTTTTGAAAGAAGAACTAAATAGCACCGGTTACAAGAAAATGCAAGGTAAAATGACAAAATACTGTTTAAGGAACTGAAAACATAGATAACCAGTGGAGAACTAATCAGATAACACAAAACGAGTAAAAAAGGGCAAAAGAATGAGATCCTTCATTAAGATTCATGTGCTTCTTAATACTTGTCATTAAACAATTGAAAATGATGTTAGTAATTAATTCATAAAAATGTTAAACAATGAGAAAATGAATGCACATTGTATAGATTGATCATTGCGCAATACATGCAATGTCACTCAAGGAACATGAGAAACAGGAAATAATCCTCAACAAACAAAAGAAAATTTTAAAATTAGCAAAATCAAACAATGTCTTGTTAACAGATTATAAAAGCTACCATTTCATTACCGATATAAACATTACTATATATATCTCTATGCATATTCACTGATGAGCAATGCACATAAAACTATGGTTTTTGTGAGCATACTCATGATGGCAATGGATACCCAATGCCGAAGACATGAATTTTTTTAAAATTGATTAAAATTGAGAATTTGATTATGAACATGAATCTGTGCAGATTATGAAAATATCCAGTTATTCAGTTAAACAAGAGAAAGAAAAGACAGCACCAACTTTCAAAACAAATTCTGTGTTCCAATCAAGCAAGAATATGCAAACATATCACACCCATTTCAAGAAACTAATGCACATTTAGGTTATTCAATGGAAAACCACCGACAAGCTCTACTAAATTTAAAGATAAGAAGAAAAAAGGAGAAACAAAGTGAAAAACACACTGATATGGATAAAATATTTACCGCCGGTAAGCACCGAATGCCCAAATTCTTGGGAGGTGGGGTGATTTCTATGACTTTGTAGGGATGGTGGTCGTGTTCCCTCTCTCTTCTTCGGCAGAAAACTCCAATGGGGACCTGTTGAAATTTGGGTTATCTCATAAAATCGGTTTTTCTCATCTATGCCTCGTATTTCAATAAGAAAACCACGAAAGAGGCCAACAGAAAAATCAAACAAGAAAAAGTATCAAAGAAAAGGATCAGAAAACTGGAAGCTCTGACTCCAGTTATAATTAAAGATGCAGCCATTTCAAATCACAGAGATCACTCTTCCTTAAGATAAAAACGCCAAAAACAAAAAGAAAATGGCAGACCAAGCTAATGTTTAGAAAGACAGAAAACAAAGATAGAAGTCTATGATGATTTAGAGAGATGGGTACCTTAAGATACAGAGCACTGTTAAAGGCTATGGCCATTTCCTCCTCTGTTGTGTTTCATGAAGAATTCTGGATTCTCATTGTCCTGGCCAAATTATACCCAAGAAAGTGAAATGCGGCCACATTTTTTTTTGTCTTCGGAAATTTTTTCACTCAAAAGGAAAATTGTTTGGTGCGGCACGGCCCGCACCTGTTAAGCTACGGTCAATTAATCTCAACTGTCCATCTAATCTGACGGTGCAGAAAGTGCATGATCCCCGTTCCCAAGCATTTGTTACCTATATCTCTACTGGCTGGGTTGGTGGTCTTCTTGTGGAGTCGTGGGAGTACACAGTGTATTTATTCCCTCACTCTAGAGACCCATCTTGGTGGATTTTTTCAGTCTTAAAATTTTAGGAAGCACCAAATAATCACCAGATGATTATTTTTAAAAGAAAATTTCAATTTTCTGAAACTTAGATCTCAAATTAAAAAATTGGATGGCTTCCGCTCGGTCAAACTTTGCTTTTTCCCTAGTACATAGAGAGTTCTATTTTTTTTATTTTATCTAAAGTCCGTGTATGAGTTGAACATATTATATCCCCAAAATTCAAGGTCCTAAAATTATTCTTATTATTGGTTTTATCCAAGGGAGGAAATGCACACTACACCCACTGGAATATAAAAACTCTTGGCTTTGGAATTTGGGTGGTATAGAGCCTAGACTGTAAATAATCAAATTAGAGTGTGGAGAAATGTGGTTTCAATATTGGAAATCTTTGTGATGCTTTAAAATATATGTTCATATTTATTTATATAGTTTAAATGATAAAAAATAGTGCAGATCAACAGATCTGAGAAAACTTGAAAATATTGAAAATTGATAATCTAAAAATATGTTACAAAATATACTATTTCCAAAACTTGAAATCAAATTTTTTTTCATGCCCATGCATCTTGATGTCGAGATAATCAATTTGAAGATATTTGGGCATAAAAACAACCTCTTCTAGTGAAAGTTCCTCTTCTAGTGAAAGTTTTGAGGTAGGCTCAAATTTGATTGTTTAGTACCTTGGCTCTATATAAACTTTTCCTTTGGAAGGATACGGTTTGCATAGAGCCTACTTTCAAATAGTATAGAGAAATGTGGTTCAATATTGGAAATCTTTATGATAACCTTAAAATATATGTTCATATTTATTTATATAGTGCATAAAAAATAATACTGATCGACAAATCTGAAAAACCTTGAAAGTCTTGAAAATCGATAGTCCAAAAATACATTACAAAATATACTATTTCCAAAACTTGAAATCCATTTTTTTTCATGTCCATGCATCTTGATGTCTAGATGATCAATTTGAAGATATTTGGGTATAAAAACAACCTCTCTTATGGTGAAAGTTTTGAGGTAGGCTAAATTGATTGTTTAGAGCTTGGGCTCTATGTAAACTTTACCTTTGGAATTTTAGTCATTTGAGAGAAGATTTGGGCAGTTTTCTTTGGGGGTGCGGTTTTTATAGAGCCGAGGCTCTAAACAATCAAATTACAACCACTTTCAAATAGTATTGACAAGTATGGTTTTAATATTAAAAATCTTTTTGATGGCCTTAAAATATGTTTTCATCTTTAATTATAAAATTTAAAGCTTCAAAAATAGTGTAAATCGAGTAGATCTATGAACACTTGAATTTTTTAAATATTGACGGTCGAAAAATGTGTTAGAAGATGCACTTCTTCCAAAACTTGAAATCCACTTTTTTTTCCTCATGTCCATGCATCTTGATGTCAAGATGAACAATTTGAGGATATTTGGGCATCAAAACAACCTTTTTTGGTTAAATTTTTGAAGTAGGTTCCAATTTGATTGTTTAAATCCTAGGATCTATATAAAATTTTCCTTTTCCATTCTTTCTTTCTTAACCAGTAAAGTCCTAGTCACATTGCTGATTTTTTTGCATCTAAGGAGAGTAGTATAAATGCCAGTCTACACCTACGTAATAGCGATAATATCCCTACCTTAATCAAATCTAGACGGCAGTGCACATGTGGGATTTTCGTGTAAATTGTATACACGCAGTGTGTATGCATGCACACTATTCATCATTGCCGTATTGACTATGGTGGCGATAATAACAAGGTTAAGGGCTTGTAAGACACTATGCGTGAGTATAGTATTGGGTACTCATTTTGCTTACCATCCGTGGATAAGTAGATGAATGGTGGATGTTGAGGTGCTGTACTCACCCAAAATATTGGATGATATTTGTGTATGGTACCTAAACTTCAAGCGATTTTATTGACCGCCGATGCTGGATCACTACACTCACATAAAATGCCGGATGGGATTGTATACTATGAGACCATTTATTTTTTTTACAACAAGGTCACAAGTACCTCTAGCTATATGATTTCAAATTAGACAATTCGACTTGCATCATAAAATTCGAAATTTTTTGTTTTGAATTTTGAATTTAATCAATAACACACTCATAAACACCTAATTTTAAAATCTAACATATACAAGTGATTATGATCTCTTTGTACAAAAAATAAATAGTTTTTGTGTGTACTTTATAACTCCGTATTTTCTATAAAGTACCCGGATGAGAAATAAAAATTTTATTGGGCAAATTGAGAATGCTTTCGAGTGAACTATTGACATGAATTTCCCCCAATTTTATGGTTTTTGTGTGAGCATAAATAGTCATTTCTAAATTCTTTTTGGAACAACATACACTTTATATTAAGGTTCCCACTTTAGAGTATACAACTAAGACGTACTCCTAAATTTTTCGGGAAAATATGGTCCTTATGATGTCTCGAAAAATCTATGATCAACCTTGATTATGTAATTTTAATTTAAAAAAACAATACAAACATGACAGATATATAAATATTTGAAAATCTCGAAATAAACGGTCCAGATAAGTTGTTATAAGACGCGCTACTTTTAGGACTTAAAATTGCTTGTTTCTTTATATTCATATATCTTGAGGTCGATATGATCAATTGAAACGTTTTCCAACTTTTGAATACTCTATTCTATTGGATTTTTTTTGGTGTATTTTATTTTATAATATAAGGTTGCAACCTTGTATAAATTTTATTTTTTTACGAAAAAAAAAAGGAAAGGGATTTTTAATGTATGCACCTTTCAAAATCTATCCTCAAGATGGACCGAGGATTCAAAACTTCACCTACCACCTCAATCACCAAGATGATGAATTAAAAAAATAAATAAATAAAATTTGAGCCTTAGAAATAGTTCATCTTGTATCATTTTTCTTGTATTCATTTCAATTCTTCAAAAATCGTTAGATCTACACTATTTTCAAAACTCCAACTTCATGGACATGAGGTGAAAATAATTTTCCATGATTTAGGATGTGTACAAGTACTATTTTAAGTCTAAAACCCTATGAAAACCAGACGGGACGCATGAGTCAACATTACTCACCAAAAAATTTGTGTTTATGAGAGAAAAAGGAAATTTATGCAAAAATCTCATTTGACCATTAGAATTAAAAAATGACCCCCAATATTTTCTATTCTATGCTCAAGTCACACCTGAGAGTGTATATTATTGTTTAAATTTAATATTTTTCTATAAATTGGACTAAGCTCAATTTTGAGGTATATATACTCCTCATCATCATACCGTGTTCGTAAACTCAGCCGGTCCAACTTGGAACGGGCCGGTCAAATCGGTACCGGGCACTGGCCGATTCAGTTTTGGTAGTGCGACTGGGTATTTTAAAAAACAAAAATAAAGGATTTGTTTGTAATATGTTTTTTAACATTTTTTATCATTTTGGTAAAGATTGTAAAGTATTTTGGCCATGAATACGTATTGTTATATTTTTTCCATTTTTTTTAGAAAATTTCAAAAATAGGCACAAATCGATTTTTTAAAATCCATTTTTTAAACTAATTTTCAACTTCATTTAGATGTACTTTATTTAATCATACTTTAAATATACTTTCATATTTCTTATTGTTTTGTATTTTTTTTTTTAACTGTTTTTGGACCGGCCGAGGCCTGCCCTGTTAGGCAAGGTGGTTTACATGTTCCTTGGATCCGGCCACTTGCCGGTTTCCAAGGCTGGTTCGATTTTTTGAACAATGCCATCACCTACTTGCAAAAATTATAAAAATAATTTAATAAAATAAAGTAACCAAAATACCACTACTAGTTTTAAAGGTATTTTGGTTATTTTAATAATTTCAAATTTACTTTTTCATTTTTTTCGTCCGGTACATGACAGTGGGAAGTATGGAATCCCCAAATTTAAACTTAATATGTTGAATAGAAAAAATTACAATTAAAATACCTTAGAGAGTAGGCTTAAGCATAAAATATAAAGGGGAAAGTTTATATAGAGCCGAGGCTCTAAACAATCAAATTAGAGCCTACCTCAAAAATTTCATTAGAAGAGGTTGTTTTGAGGTCTAAATATCCTTAAATTGATCATCTCGACATCAAGATGCATTGGAATGAGAAAAAAAAAAAATGGATTTCAAGTTATGGAAATAATGTATTTTGTAACATATTTTTAGACTGTCACTTTTTTAGTTTCAAGTTTTCATAGATCTCTCAATCTACACTATTTTTTAAGCTTTAAACTTTATAGATAAATATGAAAATATAATCTAAGGCTATCACAAAGATTTTCAGTAATGAAACCACATTTCTCGACACCATTTGAAGGTAGGCTCTAATTTGATTGTTTAGAGCCTAGGCTCCATACAAACCGCACCCAAATATAAAATATGGGGAATTATTATTTTTTCATAAAATGAGGTTATATTTTCCATAAAATTTCCCCAAAAAACCCTCTCTCTGTCTCTCTGTCTCTCTCTCTCTCTAAATTCGTTCCTCAAGTGTTTCACTCAATTTAGCAAAATAAAAAAAAATAAAGTTTGCATCAATGTTCATGAAGTGCTCTTTCTGATTCCCCTATCTAGAGGATTTCATGTCCAGGAAGTACTCTACTGTAACTAAACCTAAGAATTGAAGTATACTAGAAGCAGTAAGGTGATTCTTGTTTCTATCTTTTGGTTTTATCAATTTGAACTGATTTTATTGGATGGAGAAACAACGAATGAGGAGATTTATTTCTCT